TAGAAATCCTAAGTGTATTTGGGGGGCTAGAAATCCTAAGTGTATTTGGGGGGCTAGAAATCCTAAGTGTATTTGGGGGGCTAGAAATCCTAAGTGTATTTGGGGGGCTAGAAATCCTAAGTGTATTTGGGGGGCTAGAAATCCTAAGTGTATTTGGGGGGCTAGAAATCCTAAGTGTATTTGGGGGGCTAGAAATCCTAAGTGTATTTGGGGGGCTAGAAATCCTAAGTGTATTTGGGGGGCTAGAAATCCTAAGTGTATTTGGGGGGCTAGAAATCCTAAGTGTATTTGGGGGGCGTAGAAATCCTAAGTGTATTTGGGGGGCTAGAAATCCTAAGTGTATTTGGGGGGCTAGAAATCCTAAGTGTATTTGGGGGGCTAGAAATCCTAAGTGTATTTGGGGGGCTAGAAATCCTAAGTCCGGGCAGTAAGTGATCCACGTAGATGAACAACATACAGATATACAGAGAGACATACAGAGAGCTCCTCCAACGCTTCTCCACGGCCCATACACGCCCCGCAGCCACACCCTACCCGGCCATCGGCTGCGGCGCCCGCCGACTTTCCCACCTCCTCGACTTCCTCCTCTCCTTCGTCGTCCTCATCGTAATCGTCGTCGTCTTCGTCTTCGTCGCTGATCTCGTCCCCATTCTCGTCCAGGTCGCGGTCCAGGTGACGGAGCTGGGGGCAGCGAGCCTTCAGGGCGCGGCGCAGACAATAGCGGTTGGCGTGACCTGCAGCGCAGGGGTTGCCCTCCAGCTGCAAAGCAGTAGCAGCGGCAGCAGTATCAGCAAAAATAGCGCAGTAGCAGTAGCAGCAACAATGGCGTAGTAGCAGTAGCAGCGCATCAACAAAATCCGCCGCAACAGCATCTAGCCGAAGAATGCTAACGCTGCCTAGACGATGTAATAGCCGCGTCTGCTCAGGGCCTGAACAGGGGCTGCACCCCGTTTTCGCGATACTGCGGCTTTGCAAACACGAGCTTGCTCCCGTCAAACGACCTGCCCGACCTGCGAGTTTTATTCTCTTACGTTCCTCCGCTCCTCCGTCCCCGTTCGTGAACTCCTAACGAGAACAATTTCGTCTCTAACCATTAAAGGATTGTGTTTTTCCGTCTTCCTTGGTGGTTCTTAAACCCTACCTACCCCCTCAGCCTATCATATCCCCTTAGCTCCCCCAAAGCAGCCTGGGCTCAGCAAAGTTGTTGTGATGGCACCGGACCGCACACTCGCGAAAATAATGAGAAAAGGAAGAGACGCACACACTCTGGACTCTGGAGACTACTACCACCACCACCACCACCGCCGCCGCGCCGTCGCAACCGCCGCTGTTGCAACTGTTGCTGCTTTTGCCGCCGCCATCGGCACCATCCGCGCAGGACATACATATATACATACATATATACATACATATATAATGATGTCATGTCTCCTCTCGCGGCAGGCACGATACTTTGGCAGCACGTGGTGGCAACAGAGTTGCTGCTGCGGACGGGGTTGTTGGTGTGGGGTAACGAAGCAGTGTGTGTCCAGAGCGGGGCGCTACACCCCTTCCTCAAGACGTTCGCGGCACAGGCCCTCCACTATCCGATCTTATGGGCTGCCCCCGGGCCCCCCTTGGAGATCGCTCAGTATACACGCAAGCGCTCAGCAAGCGGGGTTAGGGTCGTGCCCGCATCCTTGCCCATTAATAGCATCTCTCCCCTTCCCCCTTCCCCCTTCCCACCCCCACCTCCACCTCCGAAACGTTACATCATGGGTTCACAGCACCGCATCGACCCCGGTGCTTGTATGTATTTATGTGTGGTGGTGTCATGGTGATGTGATCATGTGACACATACACACACACAAACCCATTCATTGATTGACACCCGGCCGCCACCCCACCTTGATGAAGAGAAGACTGGCCGGCAAGGCACGCTCGTCCAGACTGGTAATCCGGTTGTACGACAGGTCCAGGAACATGAGCTGAGTCAGCTTGGACAGGCCCTCCACCTGCACACAACACCGCCAGTACGCCACAACATCTATGCGAAGGAAAAAAAGGGAAGGGCCATATTCCTAGGATGCTATCAGAGTACTCGAACCCTCTTTTCCCATCCATCCATACACCCACCCATTGGCCCGTTTGAGAAACCGCACAACCCTTTCACAGACTGCAAAACGTTCTCTACCCCAACCTCCCTTCATTATCTTTCAGTTAATAGTGACTAGGACACCCCGGTACGGCACTGCGGTGGTACGGCAGTCCTCCTAAGCCGCCGCCGCCGCCGCCGCCGGGCTCACAGGCCCGATCAGGCCCACGTCGGATTTTGGCTCAGACCGGATGCCACGAGCCGACGAGTTCAAGAGGTCAGAGGTCGGCAGGGACAGGGCACCCCCTCTCCCCACACACCCTTCCCCCGGGGCTTCCTTTCTACTGACCTTCTCTATCCGGTTATGCCCCAGCGCCAGGAACTTCAGGCCAGGGAGTGCCGCTAGCGGTCCAGTCGCGGTTAAGCGGTTGTGCTGCAGGAAGAGGTGTGTGGCGGATGTCAGTTGGCGCAGGACCTCGGTGTTGAGGGCCGCGAGTCGTTGTCGGTCCAGGCGGATGTGGGTCAGCTGCTGCAGGAAGACCTCGCTCGCGGCTCGCCGTGCAGCGCTGAGAGATGGATCGTCGGAGATGTGGGAGCGGATGATCAAGTCCTGAAGTCGCGGCGGTGGTGGTGGTGGTGGCGGTCACGGTCACGGTCACGGAGTGGGATGAGGTTGGGAATAGAATATGCTGAAAACGTAACGGAATAAAACGCCGATACAGGGAGGGGTTGTGTTGGAGGTTACATATAAGAAGCAAAGGGTCACATCGAGGCGGGAAATGGACTAGACGTGAAAATGCAGCTTGGAGGGGAGAGGGCCGGATTTGGGGCAGAAGAAGAAGGA